GAGTTCAGGCGCTGAACTGCTGCGCCCGGGCGGCGCCGGCGCCGAGCGACCCCGAGGCCTGGGCGCCTGCGGTGCCGAATTTGTGCTGCAGACTGCGACGAAGGAGGAAGGAAAGCAAGTCCCAGAGAGCGAAGTGCAAGGTGGTGGCGGTGCAGAGCGCCTCGGAAGCAGGCCGTGGAGAAAGGGTGGGTGCGACAGCCCCTGCCCGAGGAGAAGGTACAGGAGGGGGAACGGCGACCGCAGAGGTTGGGTGTCCCGAGCTGCAGCGCAGCCCAATCCCTCCGCTCCCCAGCGCTCCCCAGTGCTCCCCAGCGGGGCCGTTTCGGGACTCTGCCCCACGGGAGGGGACGGGGACGGGGACGGTGACCGCGGGCCGTCCCCGTGACTCCAGTGCTCTGTAACCTATCGTCTATGTAAGAACAATGAATGTTAACACCGTAAATTATTGCTACATTAAAGAAAGACCACAGAAAACGCTCTGCGTCTGCGTCCCGTTCATTGCAACGGGGACAGCGACCGGGTGACGGAGAGGGCAGGGGGCTGCGAGGTGTCCCCCCAAGGGGGATGGTTTGCGTAAGGACAGAGCTGCTGGGAGCGCAGTGGCAGTGGATCCTCACAGCCCACAAGGACACCGGCAAGGCTGCGAACTGAGAGGTAAGGAGCGGCGTCAAATCACTGCATAATATACACACTTTATTTATGAATTTGTATGTATACAGACTTTCTATACACACATTACCTATATAATAAAAATGTACATGTGTATACATGGTCGTATAAATATAGAACTGTAGAAATCTTCGGACTGATCCTGTCTATTCACAGCAGCTCCTCCCGTGGCACCGCGTTGTTCGAGTAGCCGTCATTTGAGACTTGGACAAAAGGGGCAAGTGTCATTTGTGTTGGTCTGTGCCCAGAATTTGATGCACTGGAAGAGACAGAATTAGTCAAGAGCCACCGGCACAACTCAAGGGCGCTGCGAGCACAGCGAGACGCTGCTTTTCCAGGGTCTCCTCCTCCTCCCAGGAGCTCCTGTGCCCAGACCCACTGTGTCTGGGCGATGGCAGCAGCTCTCCCTGTATCCTACATCCTCCCTGAGGGTCCTGCTCGGGAAGGCCGGGATTTAACCCTCATGGCAACGAGCACAGGCTCGAGGGCAGAAATAAGGACGGCCTGTTCCTAAAGCCACCGGCCAGTGCTCCCAGGAGGGAATCGGCGCTGGGAACCGCTACGAGGAGCCCCCGAGCAGCACCGAGCGGGGCCGCACACTCACCTCCTTGTGCAGAATGTGTGAGCAGGCCATGGGGTGCAGGTCACCGGGCTGCACCAACTGCTGGCACATCAGGCACAGCTTACAGGCAGCCGGGGTCTGGGGACAGAAGGAGAGAAGCACGGGTCAGAGCCCAGCTCAGAGCACGTACTCCATGTCCCAGCTGCAGCCAGGGGCCATAATTTCCCAATTCCTCCCTCTGCCTGCCTCTGACATCTCTCCTGTGGCTGCTCCCCTCTCCCACGATGTGGAGCACCAAGGATCCTTGCCCTAACTCTTCCCTTCTCATCCTCTCAAAGGGCTCCCTCCCTCTGCTGTCCCTGGGATGGCGAAGCGCTCCAGGGCAGACCAAAAGCCTTACGTGTGACGCTGTTCCAGGATAAGCCACCTGGGCCGGGGGCAGGAACATGGGCGTGCTGATCTGAGGCAGCGGAGCCGAGAACATGGGGGCCCTGATCCGACCGAGAGGCTGCGGCAAGGCAAAGGAGGCGCATCAGGAAAGCCCCGAAGGGGAGGACGGCTGCGTCACCCCAGGAAAGCTGCTCCCCAGAGTCACGCTGCGGTCAGCAGAGAGGGGAACCCGGGCCCCCCGTCCTGCAGCCCTCCCTGCTGCTCGCCCACCTGAGCCCCGGCCGCTGCCCGCTCCTGCTGCTCCGCCAGCTTGGCAGTGTTGCAGCTCCTCGATGGTCAGACCCGCCATGGTCCTCCGAGCCGTCTTGATCTGCTGCAGGATGTTGGTGAGCTGGGCCCTGCGGGAACAGCAGCCTGCCGAGAGCTGCCAGCGAGCTGAGCACCCCCACGGACAGGGACCCCCATCAAAGGCCCTGCTCCAGGCCTGCCAGGCCCCCCAGCCCCGGGGGAAGCCCAAATCACAGCAAAGGACGCAGTGCTGTCAACCCTCTGAAGGAGGTGAATCACATGTTGAGCAAGGGTCTGTCCCCAAAAAGCTGGGGAAGAAGGAAACCCCAGCTGGAGCAAGACGCCAGGACACGGCACCGCGGAGCCTGAGGTGGTGCAGTCTGCAGGGTGCTCTGGGCTGTGCTCAGCTGTCACTGCTGTCCTTTAGGCAAAGCTCCAAGTGTTTCTCATTCCCAACACCACAGCAAACCCACCAGCCTTTGCTCTTCACCTTCAGGCTTCCCTCGCTCCCTCCAGACCCCACAAGAAGAGCTCCACCTCCCCTGACCCCAGCTCAGGTCCCACACGCCAGCCCTTGCTCTCCGGGAAGCACAACACGGGACACTTACTTGTTGCACTGTGGAAACCGAACCAGCAACTTCTCCAGCAGCTTCTCCAGTTTATCGGCCGGCTGCGGCCTGTGAAACTCTGGAGCGACGTTGACTCCTCCCAGGCCCGGCGGAGGAGGGATGGAGGTGGCGGGAGGCATGTGAGAGCTGTGCGTGCCCATCAGCGACGCCACGACGGGGCTGCTCCTGCCCTGGGACGCAGGCAGCGGCGGGGAAGGCTGGTTGGGCCTGGAGATGGCGGGGTTCAGGAGAGGAAAGGAGAGCGCCCGAGGATCGGCGCTGGGCATGACCATGGGAACGGGAACCGGGCCGATGGGAAACGGGAGCCTGGGAGTGAGGGACGGGCTGGGCTGGAATGCCGTCAGCATGAAATCTGTCTGAGGAAGAGAAAACACGCGGAGAAGGAAGGGCTGGTTAGAATAAACCCACCTGACACAGAGCCCAGCGCCTCCCTCCCCTGCCACACAGGAGGTGGGCCCAGCCGCACGGAGAGGCCCTTCCCCTCCTCTGCAGGGACAGCAGGTAGGCCTGGACGGACAGACAGACAACACAACCCCCGCGGGCTCCTCCACCACGCAGAGCACGGGCAGTGCCAGCACAGGCCAGGACCCCCCAGCAGCGAAAGCTGAAGCTTTCCAGCTCGTGTTTGTCAGGCTGGAGAGGCACTCACTTCTGAGGGCGGCGGTGGCAGCGTCGGCGTTGGGATCTGGGGGAGGCTGCTCAGCTTTGTGCCGTTTCTCACCATCTGAATGTGGTCATTGAACTGATCCTAGCGGAGAGGAAAGAAAATGGATGTGTTTGTCAGAGCCTCTCCCTGAGGAGGTTTCTGCGTGCCTAGGACAGGCAGATTTCCCTGCCTGGGCAGAGCATTCTCAGCCCTGTAATGGGCCCTAAAGTGGACACAGTTTGGTTCCACAGGAGTCAGGAGAGTGAAAAAGGACCCGGATGAGAAAGAGAGTAACTGCCTCTGTGATGAACCCAACAACTGCTTGTGTCCCCACGGCAGAGATCTCTGCAGCTGCTGCCCATGCTTCTGGACACAGAGCTTTCTCTGGGCCTTGGTCCCCTCCCAAAGAGCGCTGTAACTAAGCACACAAAGTAGTGCCAACGTGAAGATCCGCTCGCAGGAACTTACTCGGACGCTCTCCTTGGTCATTCGTATCCTGTTCAGCCTCATCTCCCACTCCTGCTTTGGCCTCATCGTCTCCAGCGTGGGTGGCGCAGACCTGCAAGCACAACTGAACTTTTCCACTTGCAACCGTGCTCTCGGTGTCAGCCAAGTGCGAGCAACTGACACCCCACAGCCTCCTGCTTCCCCCAACAGGGCAGGTGAACAGCAACAGGGAATGAGCACAGCCCCACACACGCTTGTTTTGTGACATTTGAACCACGCTATTGCCAGAAGAAAGCCACAGGAAACCCTGACCCCGTTCAGTCAGAGCAGAGGAAGAGATGGGCACGCAGGGACATTTGAGTTCCCCTGGCACTTCTGACAGAACATGGACTTACTTGAGGTAGGTGAGGTGTAGCTCTGCTTCTTTCTCTGCTTCTTCGAGTTTCAACACCAGCAGCTCCTTTCGGCTCTCCAGGGACAGGATCTACCAGAGAGGCCCCACGTGAGGAGCAGTTTGTGCACCCCCTTGCTTTTGCTGCCAGCCTGTGAGCTCTTCACTAGGCTCCGTGTGAAGGGCCCCGCTCCTGACCGACCACGACTGCACCCATTGGCGTTTCTCCCTTCTCTCGGCCCACAATCAGCTGTTTCACTAAGGGCTGGATCTGGACAGGACCCTCTGCAGAGACCGCTCTGCCCACTCACCTCTGCCTTCCAGGCCCGCTCCGTCTCCTCCAGAATGTTCCTGTTGATCTCATTGTGCTGGTTCTTCAGCTTATCCAGCTCCATCTCCCACAGCTGCCTGCGGACAGGACCAGCCCACTTAGGCACCAAACAGGAGCAGGAGAGCCGACAACCTCCCAAAAACCCATCGATCCCTGCACAGGTCTGACCCAGGAAGCGCCCTGAGGCAGCGCACAGAGCTGAGCCACTCGGGTCCTGGAGAAGTTTGAAGCTGGCCCTTTCCACCCGTGATATGTGAGCATCTGTGCCTGCATCTGGAGCTTCTCTGCCCAGCTTTAATAAAAACACCCGAGTGGAGCACAGTTCTGAGCACTTGGGCAGCTGAGGGAAACACACAGAGAAATAGGTTTGCCCTAATTCTGGGAAGCTGAAATTCAGTGGGAGGCAGCAGTTACAAGCTGAGCCAACCCACTGAGCATAAACTCTAATCTTACGGGATCTCCATGTCATGAGTGTCGAGGAGGCTGCTCGTGAGCAGGATCCCGGAGCTGTTAATGCAGAGACCGGGGGCACTGCCCTGCTGGAAGCAGAGGCTTTGTCTCCTCCAGACAGCACTGTCAGAGAGTGCTCTCCAGGCTGCCCCACCAGAAGCAGCAGATCCACTCCAAGGCAAAGTGATGGAAGGAAAACCAGTACTCCCCAGCACTAACCCAGTAACAGGTAAGAGTCTTACTTCTCATCGGATTGCTCTGCAATCAGAGACGCAATCTTGTTTTCCTTCTCCTCCTGCTCCTTCAGCAACCTGCACGAGAGAACAGGGGCAGATGGAGGCACCTGCTGCCCACGATTAAACAGCGTCCGGGCACAGCCGTGCGCCCAGCGTAACTCCACGCTCCGAGCCTGCACCGCGCCGTAATCCTTTGAAAGCAGCCGCCAACGTCCCCCAGAGCCACATTTCTGCTGTATCATGGCACTGCACACAGACCGTGGCACAGGACCAGCTCCACCGCAGGGAGCTGCGCCGCTCCGACAACGCACGCTTTGCCACCGCTCGCCCAGGGGCAGATGGGCCGAGCCCTCAGAACCGCTACTGAAGGAGCTTCATCCAAAACATCCGAGCCCTCGGAGTCACAAAACCCCAGAGCTCTAGGACATGACAGAACGGCTCCACAGAAGTGCAGATTCGCCATTCAAAGGCACCTTCGGATCTTCACGAACGGGGATTTTGGAGGAGAACGACCTGGGAAGGCCAGGCAGGCCCAGCCCCAGCCCTGCAGCAGAGCAGTCCCCCTCGGCAGAAAGGCCGCGTGACCTGCAGGGCAGCAGCACGCAGAGCGCAGCCACACGGCCTCCCTGCCCAGCGCTGCCCACGCCGGCACCGAACAGGCCGAGCAGTAACTCACTGCCCAAAACTTCCCTCTCAGGTCCTCTGTAAGCAAAAGGTGCTGACTGTGGTAGATCAGTCTAAACCTCATAGGTCTGTGCTTAACTGCTCATCAAAACCCTTGCTGCTTCCAGAATGTTTACAGTGAGACTCTGCTGCTTAATCAGGTAAACTCCAGCACTAAGCAATATTTTTCCTTCCTAAAATAAAGACTTTCTTTTCCGTACTAATACCTTCTGCCTTTCTCACAGAGTTTCTCAATTTCTGCTTTCAGATCCTGCTCCTTCTGCAAGAACTCCTTCTTTTCTTTCTCCATCTTCTTCTTTGTCTCTTCTCGCTTGATCGTAACATCCTGAATTGCCTTCAGGATCTCCTAGAGTGAAACAAGCGTGATGCAATTAAAAAGCAGAATTCCCCAGCAGCAGTTTTGGCTTAAAATCCGTTATTATTTTAGATTAATCTGAGAGATGATGTGATCCCATGCATCACCAGAATCTTTCCTTTCAGTAGATGCAGACAAGACAGCGAGCAGTTGTTATGAGGAAACCCAGGAGAGAGATGGTCTGAACCGCAGGTTCTCCTGCCTCTCCGGGATTTTAAGGAGTGGTGATTTCTGCTCTGGTTTAGCCCCAGCCGATGGGTCACTGCTGGTTCCTTAACATCAGCTACCACAGGGCCAGCTGCAAGTCACTCATTTAACCCAGCGATCCTTGAGCGATGGCCACAGAGCCCTACATAAATCAATCCAAACTGTGTGAGCGGCAGCGCTAATGGACAAGTTACTCAAGAAGAGGACTTGACCAAATACCTGGTGGTTCTTCATCTCCTCTTCCCTGCGCTGCTGGAGCTGCTTAAGCTGTACCTGCAGCTGATTCTCCACTTGCCTCTGCTTGTCCAGCACCTCCTGGTAGCGCTCCTTCAGCAAGGCCCTCTCGGACATCATCTTGTCCTGCAGCAGAGGGTGGAAATTCAGGGAGAACCTTCCCTGATGCTAAACAGAGCACAGACGGGGAAGCTCAGCAGTAAGAGCCTAGTAGCTGCCACTGTCAAGAAACCTCAGAGTAAAGGCCTTAGTACCTGCCACTGTCAAGAACTGCAGTTAAGCAGCTTCCACTCTCAAAGCTGAGGATCAGAAAAGATGAAGCGAGCACCGCGATGCCTCCTTCAATAAGAACAAATTGGGAACTCAGGGGCTGGTGTTCAAATGAGACAAAACACCCTGTGGGAAGACCAGTGCTCTGGGGGACAGCAGTCCGTGAGCAGCAGAGCCTGCACCCACCCATTGGGTTTTGATACCCACCAGATTCTTCTCGATGTCCTGATCCGTGCTCACATCCGCGTCGGCCGTCTTGAAGTCGGTCTGCGAAGGGAGGCGACCGCTGTTAGAGCCCTCACCTGGCCCAGGGCGCCCAGAGCCACCCCAGCACTAAGACCCAGCATCACCAAAACC